AACTGCAACATGTTGATTGGCTGAAAAGTTGATCTGATTACAGGCCACCAAGAACTTATGTTTGTTGCTTATTTCATGTATTTTGATGTGATTTAAATACAAAATGCAGCTGATGTAGCCTCTGATCTCTACATGGTGGAACAAACGCAGACAGCAGTGATCACGTTCTCTTTCCTGGAAACAAACTGGTCATTTAAAGCTAATTTGAAGGAAACTGTGGAAATTTTAGCTCCAAAATACCAGACAAATACACTAAACCTTTAGTGGGAATCAGTGAGTTGTTGTTGAGAGCCTCAGACAGAGAAGTGAGAAACTGTTCAGACCTAGACAGAAGAAGAATAAAATGATTTCATGTACCTGGAACTGGCAGACACACTTCAGCTGAGCGCCGTCGTCCCGGCAGACACCTCCGAACCTGCAGGTGGAGTCATCGCAGACCCTCAGGTCGCTCTTCTTCTCTGAGAGATCTGCAGCACAAACACAGACAGAGGCGGAGGTTAAATACTGGATCGATTAAAGGTGAAGCCGAACCGCAGCGGCAGGAAATCCTGACGTCTGATCGCACATTCAGAGCTGCAGGGCGAAATATGAACACAAAGCTCTGCAAAACACAACAGGGAGGTTTATCAGACACCTGAGAGCCGCACTGAGAAGCACTTTCGACATTTTCACGCCTCCTTTGTGCAAGTTGGCTTGACAAAAAACTAAAAGCCCAGTCAGAGATAATCAGTATCACAGAGGTGGTTACAAGAAAACTTTCTTTGGCAACTTTCTGCTTCACACTCTGAGCGCATTAATACAAAAGAGCACACATATATACATATGGTTTACAGAGGAGCAAGTTGTTGAAGATCCATTCAGCATGGTGAAACACCTGTCTACAGCTGATGAACAGAGTGGAGAGGAAACGTCTGTAGAGACTAGAAACATGGAGATAGTTCAATATCTGTAGTATGTGGAGACAAAACCACCAACATAGAGACACAAAATGAAGTAAATAAGAAACAGGTGCTGCCATTTATTTCCAGTGTTGGTTTCACCTCCAAGTGAGGCAAAGAACAAGTAATAGAAAGGGGAAAAGAGAGTAAAACCATAAAGCTCATAATAATAACAGTAAATAAAGTACTAAAATAAGTAAATACTAAAGGGTAAAAGAAAATGAACAAGAAAATTAAATAAAGTTTTCTTTTTGTAAAAAAAAGATAAAATGATCGTAATGATAAAATAAATAAAAATCAAAACAGACAAAGGCGAATGATTTGCAAACCAAACATTTGATAAAATGTGTAAATGAGCTCCACTGTGTCACCACTCGCTGTTTTCTGAATGTCACATTCATGACTCGACGTCATGCGTTCATCTAAAGAAAAAGTTGAAGTTAACTGAGCTTCGTTTGGATCCTGCCGATGTTTCTAATCACGGAACAGTTTCAGCTGAAACTTGTTGCTTCTCCTGCATCAGTTTTGAGGTTTTACAGCCGATCAGTTGATGAAATGCCACAAGTGTTTTCTTATCTGGAGACTGAATTGTGCATCTTACTGCACGCTTTAATGCCACAAAGTCACCCTGCAGGTGGCCTGTGAAGGAGTCGTGTCCTGTCTGATAATAACAAGCTGCCGCCACTCTGAGATGTGCAGCCAACTTAAATTATCCACATTTCCTTTGAGATAAAAGCCACAGATTCCTGCCTGCAGAGTGGCTTTGAAGAGCCGAGTAATGGCCTGTAATTACTGTTTGCAGACCTAAAAATGGCCGCCGCCGGCCACAGTAACAGCCGGCATCAATAACCCTGAAGCCCTGCAGCCGCGGAGACGAGAACAAGAGCAAACAAGAAAATCTAACCTTCAGATTCAGAGAAAACAGTTAAAACAAAGGATTGAAACTACTGATGCATTCAGAAATATGACATTAAAATTGACAATTAAGAGAAAAACTTTAAAAATCTAGAGTTAAAAAAAATAAGAGGAAAATTCTAAAATATCAAAATATAGTTCAAGATAATAAATCTTAATTATGATGAAAAATATGAAGTGAAAAGCGTGAAATATATATAAAAAAGACACAATTGTGAGAAGTAGTTCAAAATACAAGAGAAAATTAAAGAAAGTTGATGAGATGAAAAGTAAAAAATGATTAAATAAGCAACACAGATTTTAATTACAGGTGCATTAAAAAAATACAAGATTAAAACTCTAAATTATGAGATAAAAAGTGAAGCTAGTGAGACAAAAAGTCAAAAGCTAAAGTTAAAAGAGTTAAAAAGAAATCTAGTAAAAGAGATGAAAAGTGTAAAATATTCAAATCTTACAAGATAAAGAATCTTAATCATGATGAGGTCAAAACCAGAGCTTTAAATTATTGATGCACTAAAAAAAACGAGATGAATACTGTACATTGTTGGATAAAAAGTCAAATTCCAAGTTAAAAAATCTAATATACAAGTGAATATCTAAAATATCCAAACATGTCATGAGATAAAGAATTTAAATTATGATTAAGAAAAAAAATTCAACAAACAAGATGGAAAGTGTGAAATATGAAATAAAAATAATGATAAAAAGTCAGACGAGTATGAATAAATGTAAAAACAGAGCTTCAAATAATCGATGCATTAAAAAAATATGAGATTAAAACCGTTAATGATGAGATGAAAAGGCGAAGGTCAAAATCAAGAAATAAAAACCTGAAATATTAAAATTTATTAGGAGATAACAAATCGAAATTATAAAAATAATAAAGTATGAGATGGAAAATTTAAAAAATGCAAAACAGAAAGAGAAAACAATGAGTTTGAAGGCCTCAATAACAATAATGACTAATAAATATCCGTGCAGCCGTGGAGACGTGAACCAGAGCCGAGAAACAAGAAAAACTAACCTTCAGATTCAGAGAACAAGAAAATAAAAGCTGGAAAATTAAATTCACAAGGAAACAGCTCGAGTTAAAGAGAGCTTTAAATTATTGATGCAGTAAAAAGGTTTGAAATGAAAATCCCCAAAACTGGAGGTTATTCCAGTTTAGGAGGAAAATTAAATTGGTTTTTCAGCCAAGGTCGGCTTTCTGCCTCCGCTTCGTGTTCAAACTGTGGATTTTACTCCCAGAGAGTTTTAAACTTCCAGCGATGGAGACGCTTTGCTACTGAATTAAACACATTTGTGATTCTAAACATTCAGACTTCTTACTGTGGAAGTTAAACCTCATCTTCATTTTTTCGTTTCTGTGGATTTTCAGGACTTTTCAGATCACTGAAACCTCATTAAAGAAGATTTTCTGATCCTCACACTCTGAACAAAGCTGTGATTATGACTCCATTCAGACTGCTGAACTTCTGTCATGTTTGATTATCTTGTTGCAGGAAAGTGTCCGAAACTGCCGAAAAACACAGTCGGAAAAAAACAAGTTTAATCATTCATAGAAAATGTCCAGCTTGAGTCTGCATTCTGAAATGACAAAGTCAACATTAAGAGATGTAAAAATAATAAAAACAAATCATGATAAAAAATAGTCCATCCATCCATCATCTATACACCGCTTAACCCTCACTAGAGTCTATCCCAGCTGACTCAGGGTGAAGGCAGGGGACACCCTGGACAGGTCACCAGTCTATCACAGGGCTACACTTAGAGACAGACAACCAAGCACACTCACATTCACACCTACGGACAATTTAGAATCACCAATTAACCTCAACATGTTTTTGGACTGTGGGAGGAAGCCGGAGAACCCGGAGAACCCACGCTGCACGGGGAGAACATGCAAACTCCATGCAGAAAGATCCCAGGTGTTCTCACTGGGACACGAACTGGTGACCTTCTTGCTGTGAGGCAACGGTGCTAACCACTGATCCACCTCAAAATAGTGAAATGAAAATTTTGAAAAATAGATTTTAAAAAGTCTAAAATACAAAATAAAAAGCCCAAGTTATGATAACAAGTCCAAAATGTGAGAGAAATTATGAGATTAAAAAGTGATTAATTATAAACACATGGTGGAGAAAAGCAAGACAGAAAAAAAAAATGATGGTCGAAATGTCAATGATTAGAAATGAAGAGTCCAAATTATAGGAAAATCTAAAGGAAATTCCAAGTTTAGGTATGAAATAATATAATTTTACACTTCAATATAATAAATATCCAAATTATGAGATAAAAGGTGACAAATTGAATTAAAAGAGTCAAAAACGTTTCTAACGTACTGTGCACATGGAAGGCTTTTCTGCATTTATAAAAATGGTTTTTAAACTGTGTTTCGTTATTTTTATTTTGTTTCTCTGATTGGCTGCTTCAGATCAGCTTTAACTACCAAATATATTTATGCTCGATTAATCTGTTTTGTTTTTTAGAAAATGGACAGATATAGATTTATAAAAGAAGAAAGAAACCAAAAATTCTCACTTTTACGAAGCTGCAAACAGAGAATTTAGACTTTTTTTTTTTCCTGAATAACACGACTCAGAGTGATTAATCAATTATCTAAACAGCTGAAGACTAATTAAACACTTGACAACTGGTCGATTAATTAGTTATTGGTTGCAGTGAACACTTCAGAATGAGAACATCTGACGTTTATTCGCTCGCTTCTTTAAAGGGAACCGTGTCGGAGTGTCGTGCTGGGATTTAAAGTCCCATCATGCATCAGTGATGTTGGGGTTTTACGTGAACGTCTCCTGTTTCAGCTGCTTTTAGAAAAAAACGAATCGATACGCAGCCGCAGCAGCTTCTGTCATGGAGAAGGTTTCACTTCTCGGTGTAATGAAAAACTCACCGTGTGTGTGTGTGTGTGTGTGTGTGTGTGTGTGTGTCTGCTGCACCATGAATAGTGTTTATCAAAACTTTCAGCGGGTGTCAGACTACCAAGGACTCACTTCTTTCTGCTGCTGATCTGTTGTCAGGAGGAGAATGACTGAACGAATGTTTTCACAGATGCACAAATCTGTTCAAGGAGCCCAAACATCAGGAGGCTGATTAAATCCTGGATGTGTCGGACGTTGAGTCGGGTTCTCGTAGTTTTAGATTTTTGCTGTAACGACCTGAAACACTTTAACAGGAACAAGAGCGTCATGATTTAGGTCACCGGCACCAACGACTGACTTCCACATTGATTCAGCAGAATGTTGACTCTTCAGAAAGTCTGAAAAAAAACTCAGAATTTAGCACCAGTTTAATCAATAATCCCATTTTTCCAAAACCAGTTTATATTTTAAATGCTGTTAACATGCGACTCTTTGCATCCGACTTCTATTGGCGGCTTTAGTCACCTCATGATGTGGAGGAAAGACCTGATCAATATGGATTGTTCAGGGCAGAAACCGATCATTAGTAATCAAGAGTTCGATAACTGACATGTGGAGCTGATGCAGATTAAATTCTATATTTAAACGTCATGTGACAGCAGGAGAACGGCCTTTTATAACTATTAGTCGAGTAAATGTATACAGTAAACAATATTGTAGGGTCTTTGTTCTAAT